TTCGTAATTTAATTTAATTACTCTATTTTAATAAACAAACATTTTTTATTTTATATTAAATAATATATAATTTTTAATAATACATAAACATTTGTGATCTCTATGTATTTTTTTATGTATTTTTATGATTTTTAAAGTTTTTTGTTTTTCATATATATATATATATATATATATATATATATATATATATATATATATATATCTATATATATATATATATATATATATATATTGTCAGTATGGGATTTCCCATTTTGGACTTAGCGGTTTTTTGTCATTTTTTGGGGGTTTTTTTAATACACATTACATTATGATTAGTTTACTTAATTTTACTTAAATAAATATTGTTAGCAATGGATTAGAAAAGTTATAAATTGGCCGGTTGTTAATAATATGAATTTTAAAATAACAAAATATATTATTAACGTTTTGATGAAAAATAAATTTATTGAAAATGGTTAGAATACATAGTAATACTAAAAATATACAGAGCCTTAATGTTTTAAATGATATTATTTTTAAAATATTTATAACACTAATCGTATAGTTTTTTAAGATCTATATATATATATATATATATATATATATATATATATATATATTTAAGAAAATAAACCAATACTAGCCTATATAATAATAAAAGTAAACATTGCAAACCGTATAATTATTAAGATTATTAACATACAATTTCATCTATATATTTGAAATAGATAATGAAAGTATTGGAGGGTGTGTTTTGTAATTTGTAACTAAGTAAAAGGGAGTAAATTAGAAAAGATATATAAAAACAATTGATATCTGTGAAGTAAATGATGAGACTGTTTACGCAGTAATCTAATCAAATATTCTAAGGGTGTGTTTGACAAAGCTTAAAAAATGAGTTTTTTTGACTTATTACAGATTTGATACCGGTATAAGTCAAAAAAGTGTTTGGGTAAAAAACAACTTATAACTGTTGGTAACTTCTAATAAGTCAAAAAGTGATAAGTAACCTATCCCTTATTAAAAACTCCTTATTTCACAAAAATAAGTTATAAGTCAAAAAGTCATAAGTCTTTTTAAATAAGTTTTGCCAAACACCCTCTAAGACTTATACACGAATTTAATCGTGAGAATAGGAGGACCCTTAATTTTATCCATAATTATTGTGGATGCAGTTAGAATACGCAGGTTGCAATCCCAAACAAACCATTTCACCCAATTAAAGCCTTCACTTCTTTCTCTTTTTTCACGCTTTGAGGATGGCGACTATGCTTTGGTGAGCCCCCTAGCGAGAGCTAGGGGTGGTGTTCTACATCAATGGCGAGCTAAGCGAGTGGCTTTGGCGGGTGCCACTCCGCTTAGCCTAAGAGTTGGAGGTTGTTTGGTTTCAAACATCCAACATTTATGTTTGATGATAAACGCCTAATCATAGATAGAAACTTAGGTTTTTGCATTTTTGGCACAAATCATTTGTAAACTAATGATTTTGGCAATTTTATAGGTTATATAATATATTCTTAATGTTTTATTATTATTATTATTATTATTATTATTATTATTATAAAAAGTTTAACAAATAAATTAAATAATTACTGTTATCAATATATATATATATATATATATATATATATATATATATATATATTAATAGAAGCATTTTTCTAAGCACCACATTGATTTGAAACTCATTTGTCTTTTCATATTCTCAAATGACTAAATTTCTAAGCAACACATTGATTTGAAATTTCTTTGTCTTTTCATATTCTGAAATGACTTTTCAAATGTCTTCTAAGTAATTGATTTAACATTAAACACGAAACATCATATATAAACTCTTACATGTAAGAATGATGTCATAAGAAAATGAAAATAAAAATTTTCAATAGACACAATTCATTTAGAACGTATTAGCAGTGATGGAGTCCCTAGAAGAGCTCTACAAGTCAAGGTTGTGGATGAATGTATCATTTTTTTACTCATAGTTTGATCGTGTTATATATATTTTTTTTCCAGTAGTGATGTGCAATTCGAGTTGTGGTTTTCAGTTTTCGAAGTTACATGTGAGAACATCATCATTAGCCTATTTGTTTATATATATATATATATATATATATATATATATATATATATATATATATATAACACAATGTCATAGGTTCTCTCTCGCTCTCTCTCTCTCTCTCTCTCTCTTAGTTGATGTGTGTGCAGCTAAAACATAGAGTTAGACCAATTTACTTATCCCTTATCCATTTATCATGCCCCCATTATCAAGAGCCTAATCTATGAAAACCCTATAACATTCATGGTCCTTCAAGATTCTAAGGCCATTAGACAACGGTTTTCTTGGAATACAATAATACATATTGTTCATTATAGTATTTTATGTTTCATTAAGAAAAACCAACAATTCCATTGTGGTCCATATTTTACAAATTTTTTATCGCTAAACGTTAAGATTATAGGATCTATGCAGGTTAGGGTGTGTTGAACAACAAGACCTTTGTAATACATGCCCAATGTAAAGGATTGTGATTCACGTCTGCCAATATATGTAGAAGTTTCTATCTTATATACGTCGTAAGGTTTCAAAGTTCCGACATTATATAAATTGAAGCAGAATCTATTGTTATCTATGTAGTGTACATTAAATCAGAGTTTATGGATGAAGAACTGCTACCTTTCCCTTCAAAAATGATGTTGCGAACTTTTGATGACCCTTTTAATACACTATTGGAAGACGGAGGACTTTAAAAATCTCAATAAAGACAAATTTATGACAAATGTTAAGTGTGGATTCCTCTTCATCAATGATTTTGTCTTAAATTGTGATATAACCATTCAAATCGACATCAGCAAGTAATAAGGGCTAAAGGTGGACAAACATAACTTTCCAGACCCCGTAGACAATAAAATAAAGGAGCAAAATAAGATTGTGCCAATAATTGTTTGTATTTTTTTTTCAAATGATGCATTTTTTTATCCTTCTTACCAAATTAATCCTTTTTTTTTCTGGTCTCTCTCTCTCTCTCTCTCTATATATATATATATATATATATATAATATATATATATATATATATATATATATATATATCAACCGAACATGTAAAGAGTAGTACACATAGTGTTCAGGAAAGACACAAAAGATCATATGATGTCAAGTTTGTAAAAATCGCTAGGTGGTACTAAGTCGGTCGACTTGTGGCTAGAGATTAGTCTGTCTAGTCGGTGAACCTAAATTGTTAATCAGTTAAATTATAAAAAAAATAACTAATATCGTAAGAAAGTAGGTATACACAATTAATATCATATCAAAATAAGTTAATGACTAAGGGTGTGGGGAGTGGTCACAGCCAAACCACCGGCCAACTCAGTGTCACTTAGGTATTTTACCATTCCACAACCAACCCATTAGGCTGTGGAAATGGTGTTCACCGGTGGGTTTGTGGTGAATGAGCAAAAAGAAGCAGAGAGAACGAGAGAAAATGTGAGAGAAAAAAGAAGAACCAATCAAAATGTTTGTCTTCTTCCGTCTTCACCACCACTAGAAGCCACTTCACACCCAAACCACCGGTTCACGGGGCGGCGTTCGCCAGTAGGTTAGTGTGCCACATAGGAAACTCGCGCGAGGTTTGCTTTCCACTCCTGATAGCCTAATACAAAATTAATACTTCGTCAAATAGTTTTTATTAAAGATAAATTTTTTTAAGACTTCACATATTGTTTAGGTCTATTGTTTCCGTACCACCTAGAAAGTAATTGAAAATTTAATCGGACACTAGTCAAAAAATTACTAACACTATATAATGGAAATATTATATACAAGGCATATATGCTAAAAAATCACTATGTACACACAATTCTCGTGAAGGTCTAATTTCACCTATATATAAGAGAATTAAAAAGACCATTAATAAATAAAATAATAACAATGTACTTTCAGTTTCTCATTATTTTACACTTCCCAGTTCCCACCCTTTAACATTATGTTATCAATATTTATGCCATAATATTAATAAAGTTGGCATTAAATCACAAAAATATTCCTTACGTCTAACCTCATTTTGCATTTGTTATAATTTCCTTTTCTATCTTCCATCTTCGATTCCTTCAATTTGTTTAACATATATGAAGGGAGTAGATTTTTCATTCTCGTTGTTTATGTGTGTTTACTTGATTGGAATTTATTATGTTTTTTTTATAAGTACATACTCATCAATCATGAATTTAATTAACTAACTAATTGATAATAGTAACAATAATAAAATTAATTTTGAATTAAAAAAACCAAAATTAAACAAAAAAATTTACGTTGATGTCATGTCAAGGCCATATAGGCGTACATTGATTAGAAATTAACTTTGTGGTTCTAATTTAGCAACTTCTGAATTTTCAAACCCTAATCGATTTGCTAACTAGACACCACGAACGGTTAATAAAGCTTTTAAGTTTAACTACCATTCAAAGTGTCTATAGTTATGATTTTTTTTTTTTTTAATTTACTTATATGCGTAAGTTACTTGTACCTATGCATTGACCGGTTGTACCAAAGATCATGAGACAAATGGAGGAAATTAAAGAAGTTAAAAATGGTGATAGAGGAAAACAGGGGTGACTTGAGATTGATGCCTAACTGCTCCCACACTCACTTTGTCTTGTGTTTTACTGAAAGAGTCAAGAACAAGATTAATCAAAGCATGATTAAACTATAAACAAATTATACAAAAATGGTGGGTAGGGTGGGGTGACTGGGTGAGGGGTGGTGCTCTGCTAATTTTGCAAATCTCAAGGTATTCTTTTAATGTTTCTTTAATCTTTTTGTTTTTTATATTGAAATTCGCCATGAAACCTGTGCTTATTTCTTGATCACCACCCCAGTGTTCGAACCAAGCAAGAAAACCCAGAAAAAAGGAGAGGTTTTTAGAGAGAGAAAGACACAGAGGAAGTGAGAGACGCAAAGATTAAGAAAAACAAACCTCAAATGATACAAACCCAAGAAAAGTTTGCAATTTGAGGCAAATGTCGATGTTGTCGTGCCCTAAATCCGATAACCATTATCCTATTAATCTCCATTGTTTCTTCAAATCTCCTCTGGTTTTCTTCTTCATTTCTATAACTCTTTTCTTGATTCCCTGTTCCGCCGCCGCTGCCGGCGGCGATGGAGGTCCTAACCAAGAAGCCGTTGTGCTTTTCACTTGGGTTCATGGTGTTAACGGTGGTGGTAATGACGGTTCTTTCTTTTCGAGTTGGACACTTTCCGGCGACACCAAAAGCCCATGCAAATGGGATTACGTTAAATGTGATTCACAAGGCTTTGTTTCTGAAATCAATATTCAGTCGATACCATTGCGACTACCATTACCGGCGAATCTTTCTTCGTTTTCCCATCTCAAAAGCCTTACGATATCCGACGCTAACATCACCGGAACTCTCTCCGACGACCTCGGTTCCTGTCGGGAGCTTGTCGCCATTGATTTAAGCTCAAACAGTCTCGTGGGTCCCATCCCGTCTTCCATTGGCAACCTTGAAAACCTCCAGGACTTGATTTTAAACTCCAACAAACTCACCGGAAAAATCCCACGTGAGCTTGGGAACTGCCGGAGCCTCAAGAATCTTCACCTGTTTGACAACCGACTCACCGGAAACATCCCACCTGAATTAGGTCAGTTACATAACCTTGAAGTCATCCGCGCCGGAGGAAACAACGACCTCGCCGGAGAAATCCCGGAAGAAATCGGAAACTGCAGAAACCTCACGTTTCTCGGCCTCGCAGACACAAGAATATCAGGTTCTCTCCCTCACTCATTAGGTAACCTCACCAAACTCGAAACACTTTCCATTTACACCGCCATGCTTTCCGGTGAGCTCCCGCCGGAGCTCGGCGACTGTTCAGAGCTTGTAAACTTGTTCGTATACGAAAACTCACTTTCCGGCTCCATCATTCCCGAGCTCGGAAAGCTCAAAAAGCTCGAAAAACTGTTACTATGGCAAAACAACTTCATCGGATCAATCCCTGAAGAAATCGGAAACTGTACTAATTTAAAAATCTTCGACGTTTCTTTAAACTCATTATCCGGCGTTCTTCCGTCTTCCGTTGGTAATCTCATTGAGTTAGAAGAATTCATGATTAGCAACAACAACATCTCCGGTTCAATCCCGATTGTTATTTCAAACGCCGTCAATCTCCAACAATTACAGCTGGACACAAATCAAATCTCCGGTCTGATTCCTTCCGAGATAGGAAAATTAACAAATCTCGAAGTGTTCTTCGCGTGGGATAACAATCTCGAAGGAAGCATACCTTCAAGTTTAGGAAGTTGTACAAATCTTCAAGCATTAGATTTATCGCACAATTCACTCACCGGAAGTATCCCTCCAGGGTTGTTTCAACTCCAAAACCTCACCAAATTGCTTCTAATTTCAAACGACATTTCCGGTTCAATCCCGCCGGAAATCGGGAACTCCACCGCGTTAGTCCGGTTACGTTTGGGTGACAATCGAATCACCGGCGAAATCCCGAAAGAAATCGCCGGATTAAAAAGCATAAACTTTCTTGATTTGTCCGGAAACCACCTCTCCGGGGTGGTTCCCGGCGAGCTTTCCGGTTGCACCGAGTTAGAAATGGTGGATCTTAGCAACAATACATTACAAGGCTCGTTACCGGATTCTTTATCATCATTATCAGGACTCCAAGTCCTAGATGTTTCCAGTAACCGGTTTTCCGGTCCCATCCCCGCCAGTTTCGGGCGGTTGGTTTCATTAAACAAACTCATTCTTAGTAAGAATGAGTTTGCAGGAGCGATCCCTCGATCGCTCGGGCTCTGCTCAGGTCTACAATTTCTAGACCTGAGCAGTAATAAATTATCAGGCGGGATACCGCCTGAGTTAGGAAATATTCAAGCGCTCGAGATCGCCTTGAATTTAAGCCGCAACGGGTTAACCGGGTCGATTCCGGATCAAATAGCTGCGTTAAGCAAGCTTTCGATTCTTGACATGTCGTACAATAATTTGGAAGGAAATTTGAATCCGCTTTCGCGTCTAGATAATCTTGTTTCGTTAAATATTTCGTATAATAATTTTACGGGATATTTACCGGATAATAAGCTTTTTAGGCAGTTATCGGAAGCTGATTTAGCCGGGAATCGAGGGTTGTGTTCTTTTGGAAAAGAATCGTGTTTTTTAAACAATGTTGCAGAATCAGGAAATGGGAAAGATGAGTATAAATCAAAAAACGCAAAGAGATTAAGACTAGCGCTAGCGTTGCTTATTACTTTGACGATTGCTATGATGATTATGGGAGTTGCTGCGGTTTTACGTGCGAGAAGGGGTTTCAAGGGTGATGATGAATCTGAGCTTGGCGAATCATGGCCATGGCAATTCACGCCTTTTCAGAAGCTAAATATTTCAGTTGACCGAATTTTGAAATGCTTAGTGGACACTAATGTCATCGGGAAAGGGTGTTCTGGGGTTGTGTATCGTGCTGATATGGATAATGGTGATGTGATTGCTGTGAAGAAGCTTTGGCCATCAATGGCGGTTGATGGTGGTTATGAAGATGAAAAAGCTACAGTTCGAGATTCGTTTTCAGCTGAAGTGAAAACATTGGGATCAGTGAGACACAAGAACATCGTTAGGTTTCTGGGTTGTTGCTGGAACAAGAAGACGAGGCTCCTTATGTATGATTATATGCCAAACGGAAGTCTTGGGAGTCTTCTTCATGAACGAATGGGGAGCTCGTTGGAGTGGGAATTGAGGTATCATATCTTGTTGGGGGCTGCTGAAGGAATTGCTTATTTGCACCATGATTGTGTTCCTCCGATTGTTCATCGAGATATTAAAGCTAATAATATTCTCATCGGTCTAGAATTTGAGCCATATATTGCAGATTTTGGTCTCGCGAAGCTTGTTGATGATGGTGATTTTGCTCGTTCTTCTAATACAATCGCTGGTTCATACGGATACATCGCTCCTGGTATACACATTTCTCTCCTTCTAGTTTTACTGTTTTTTTCTATGAGACATTTTCACGAACAGTTTGTGTGCATTTTCAGAATACGGGTACAGGATGAAGATCACGGAGAAGAGCGATGTTTATAGCTACGGAGTAGTGATGCTGGAAGTTTTAACAGGGAAACAACCGATCGACCCAACGATACCAGATGGATTACACGTCGTGGATTGGGTGAAACAGAGAAAAGGATGGATCGAAGTACTTGATCGGAGCTTATTATCTCGTTCGGAATCAGAAATTGAAGAAATGATGCAAGCATTAGGAGTTGCATTACTCTGCGTCAACTCTTTGCCGGAAGAAAGACCAACGATGAAAGATGTTGCGGCCATGTTGAGGGAAATTAAGCATGAAAGAGAAGAGTACGCTAAAGTTGATGCTCTTTTGAAGGGTTCACCGGAAAAACCAGCCACCGGAAGTAGGGCGGAAGGAGGAGTTCCCGCAACATCATCGTCATCGGCTGCTGCTGTTGCTGGTGGTGGGATGAGAAGTAACGCGAGTAGCTTCTCTGGTTCTTCGTTGCTTTACTCGTCGTCTTCTAGAGTCGCCTACAAGTGAATAAAAGAGATTCTTGATTTGGGTGTGTGATGTTACGGAATTTTTTAGATATGGTAATTTAATTATATTTGGTGTTGAGTTTAATGGAGATTTGAATGGGTTGAGTTGTAAATTAAGAAATATGGGACGTGTGTTGTAAGTAGAAGAAATTTTGAGCCTCTTTTGGCTTATGAACCTTCTTTTAGTAGAATAATGACCACTTTTTGGCATTTGGATTTTAAGTAATACATATCTGTTTGAATTTTGTTTGTTTTAGAGTTAGAAAAAAAGAAGTTAATGAAAAAATACCAAAAAATGTATATGTAATACTTCAAAACAACTATCTTTTAGAAAATTTATCATGATCACCTATTTGGCAAAGAAAAATTAACTTACCAAAACCATTGGTTAAAATATTTTTCTCAAATGAACTCTTGTTTTTTAAAACGCCTGCAAAGTATAACAACCGGAAAGTAGCGATACGCTAGGAGTATCGTTACAAAGTACATGTAGACATACAATTCAAGTTACTTTTATTTCCTTTACGATATGATTAATCTAGTTAAACAAAAAAAATTGAACATTATCCATGGGAGCACTTAACATTCTTGAACATAAAGGTGTCCGTTGTTTTTTTTTAAGCAAAAATTCATTAAGCCTACGGATCATGGTTGTCAAAATCGCGTTTTTGATCGTAGTATCGTACGATCCTAAGTATGAAAAACGAATCGGATCGTAAACGGATCGTATTTGAGATATGATCGCAGGTAGGATCGTAAGATCGTAGGTAGGATTGTAGGATCAGGATCCGATCCGATCCGATCCGATCCTACCTTCCCTAGATTTTATATTTTTTTTGCAAATGAATTTTTTTTTACCACTCTATCTCCTTTACCCTTTACCAATTTATCGTTTATCATTTTGTGTTGTGACTTATAACTAATATTTTTAAGTTTTTGTAATTTTTGAACGAAAAATTAAATGATTGAAATATTTTTCATGTTTTAAAATTATAAATTATACATATGTTTTATTTTGTGGGATCTTAGGATCCCGATCGCTATCTTACGATGCCGATCTTGAAAACCCAAAAACGATCCTAGGTTGGACCCTGATCTTGACAACCTTGCTGCGGACCACCTCTGCAACCCTCTGCAGCAAAAAGAGGTGGACAAAACGGCTACAGACTGTAATAAGAAACATGTTTCTTTTATAACATCTGCATGCTGCTGCAAATATTAAAAAATTATAATAAACTGATTTTATATACCGAAAATAGTTTTTTAATACCGAAAATTTAATAATATATGACATTTCAGCATGATTTTATGATATTTCAGCAAAAAATAATGATACTTTAGCAAAAAATTATCATTATTCAATATAAAAATGAAAAAAAAATTGAGCAAGAATAAACTAAAAAACAAAAAGAAGAAGATGAAATAAGCTTCAGCAAGATTTTAGCAACATATAATCAAGATTCATCAAGATTTTAGCAAGAAAAAAAAAGAACAGGTTGGAAGAGGCAATACAAATGTTGCCCCAAACAGAACACGCGCAACGACTTTTTACTCCGAAGACTTCTAAAAAACAAACAACTACGATACGAAAAGTATTGCGTGTGTGCTGCGCCGCGCAACAATAAGAGGTCCGAATAAGTTTTTACAAAAAAAACAAACAAACACCTAAAATATTTCTAGTGTTCCAAAATCAGGCACACCATCAAGTAAACCAAAGCATGTTTAAGGTTAATACCTCTATCGCTAATATTAAAGCCATTAAGCGTGTTAAATAGTTCCTCCATACTGCCCACATCTTGCGGTAAGATGGTACTTCACAAGCAAAACCATTTCCATAAAATGTTGGCGAAGTCACATTTGAAAAGAAAAACGATCCACTTCCTCAAACTACAAAACCAAGAGGGACATAACACGGATGAAATATTAACACCTCTATAAGCTAAGTTAGAGGCTAACAAAATACAATTTAAGAAAAGGCGCAACACAAAACAATTTACCTTCAGGGGAATCCAATTAATCCACCCGAAGGAAATAAGTTGGTGATAAAAAAAACAACTCTAGCGACAAGTTTCCTAAGAGAAAGCACTGGAAAGTATCATTAGCATCACTGTTCCAACTCCAAGAGTCAAGGTTGTCAGGGAATTTGTAAAGGGAAATATCAGACACTAGGCAACAAATTCATGTGTTCCCATGCCTCTTCTCAGCTGTCTTTTCCAGCTCCAGCAAAACAGGGATTGATTAACCTTGTTTATTGTCAAAAATCAAACAATTTTTGCTTGATTCAGTAACATATAATGATGCATATTTATCCTTAAGCGCCATGTTTCCGCACCACTTATCCTTCCAAAAAATAGGAATTGTTTCTCGCACGACGTTCCTCTGAAATAAAGAATTTATTGAAATACCTTAATCCTTAAAATCAACACCAATTTATGAGATACATAACCAAGTTCCCGTAGTAGACTTTTTAGCAAGCGGGTTGTCATCAATAAGAGTCATCTTATGAATAGCTTTGATACATAAGACCATAAACATTTCTACTTAACTTTTAGTCTCCACCACCATTTTGTTAGTAAAGCTCAGTTCAAAGTTTTAAGTGTAACATCCGAGTTCCGATTGTGATTTTCCATTATTTGAATAGTGGTTTCAATGTGTAAGGAAATGTAGAAGTATGAACCAAAGCATGAAGATTAACTATTTATTCGGTGAAAATTGAAAACTGGAATTTATTGGAAGGGACGCAGAGAGTCCATACCCATGGGTTGTTCGTCTTTTTAGGGTTTTGGGGACTATTTAAAAGACATTAACCCTAGGTTTTTCCATTCTTAACCTCCATCAACCCCATATCGACCATTGTAAAACCCTAGCCTCCCTTTGTGGGTTTTGAACTCAACCTCTCTCTCTCATTCATTTGCATTTTGTGGTTCTTTTGTGAAGAGTTATTGAAATATTGGCCTTGGAAGCTTTGCAACTAAAGAGATCAACATTCTTACACCTTTTGGACCTTTGTAAGTCACAAAGATCCATGATTTATTGTGTTTCATCTTTTGATCTAAAAGTATTTGGTAGTTTGGTCCTTTTCATGAGGTTTTTGTCCCTTTATGACTTGATCTATGGATTTTGGAAAACTCCATGATCTTAGAAGCATATTTTCCTTCAAATCTGACCTTTTAAAAAAGTTTTGAGTGTATGCATATGTTCTCTTTGCTCCATGCATGAAGAAAGATGCATTCTTGAACTTCTTGGAAACTAGGGTTAGATCTTGCTTGTTTGGGGTGTTTTAATGGATAAAGTTGGAAACTTTATCCATTAATACATTATTAAGAATCATATATGAGAAGTTGAGCCTTGACTTAATGGATTAAGTCAAAAAAACCTTTGAAAATTTGTTTGCACGCAACGCGTCTTTTGCTGGCGTCGGGGCGTCCCTATTTAATATAAGACACGTCTGATTTTTAGCCTGAACCTGACTATTTTGTCATGTAGTGGGCGCGGGCGATGGGGGTCTTTTGACCTGAAGATTGACTTTTTGACTTTTGACCAAGTTTGACTTTGGGTCAAACTTTAGGGTTTTGGATTATGGACTAAGGTTTAACCTTTATTGGTGTTTCGAAAGTTCGCGAATGTGATCTGTGTGATAATTCGATTGTACAATTGTGATTCTTTAGTCTCTTGTTCAGGTGATTTTTCTCATTATTCTATGTGTGACATTATATATCCTTTTTATGATATGATATAGGCATTGTTAGGGTACAAGTATGTTATCTTACTAGGATAGTCTTTATTATGTATGTGATTTATTGATTGTATGATACTTCTTGTTTCATGTGTGGTTAAGGTATTAGTAGTACTGGTTGATCGTTGATTGAATGCCTTACGGGTGATACGTGGTTTAAATTAGATAGCTTGAGAACTTTTGACCTAACCTTATTGCATAGTTCTTGTCTGATATATTGCTTCCAGGTAGGATTATCTGTTTAAATTTCTATCTTATTTCTTGACTATGTATGACGACACATTTACTAGGTGATCGTTAGTGTAGTAATAGCCTCTATATGGTTATAGAACGGCTGAGAGCCGATGGTTATATGTCAACTGAGATCCGATGATGGCATGACAATTAAGAGCTGGTGATAGTTGATGGCTAAGATCCGACATGGTATGATGGCAAGGTGCTAATGTTTGTTATGTATGTTGATTGTATGTTGGATATGGATGATGGCGGATTGGATTTGGAGTCGAGAGTCTTTGCTTGTATGTGTTGTATGTATGGTGAAATATGTGGTATATTGGGGAACTCACTAAGCTTTGTGCTTACGTTGTTAAGTTTAATGTTTTTTAGGTTGTTCGAGGGAACAACGCAGCGTGACTGTATATTTACATCAAAGTTTTTATTGTTACTTACTTCAGCTGGTTTTTGCAAATTTAACACTTTTAATCTTATGCTTTTGAAACAATGGTTAATATATTATGTTTTCAAATTGGATTTTGGGTGTTTATCTTGGTTTATAAATGAAAATTTTATTGTGAAAATTTGGGGCGTTACATTAAGACATCCAATACCAAGACCCAAGCTGGTTTTAGGTCTAGTGAAATTGTGTCAAGCCACCCAACAATTCTTCCTATTATTCTCATCCCTTCTCCAAAGAAACTTTCGTTTAGTACTTTCCAAAAGATCAATGAATTTTTTTGGTGCCTTAAAGAGAGCAAAGTAATAGATGGGAAGATTCCCAAGCAAGCACTGAGTTAACAAGCATGACCCTACCACCAAAAGAAAGGTTTTTCGTTTTCCAAGAGCTTAACTTGGCAAGAAACTTATCAAGATTAGGATTCTAATATTTAGAAATCTTGACATTCACGTCAATAGGAAGGCCGAGATAAATGAATGAAAAGTTTGTGGGGTTGCATTTTAAGATGCTAACAAGCCTAGCAGCTTCACAAATATCAACCCCACACCAAATACTTTGCTTTTGTGAAGATAAGTTAAGCATGGGCCATTCTTAGGAAGAAGCACACCCCTAAAATGTGTTGATAAAAGGTTTCCGACATTGAAACAATGAGATCCTCTATGGCAATAACAAAAGGAAATGGAGATAGTTGGTCTCTTTGATGAACTCCTAATCTAATATCAAATTCTTTAGTGGCGGAGCAATTCACTAAA